GATATTGAATACAGAGAAGGAAAATCTCATGGAAATGCAGACGAACTGAGCCGAAGACCCTTCAAAAATGACTACAGACATTGCTGCAAAAGAGAGGTTGAACTAACCAGGTGCCATCAAGCTGAAGTCAAAGTGACAAAAGGAATTGATGATGGTGAAGTGGAACCAGGTATAGATATTAAAGAAGAACAGGAGAAAAAACAAGATTTGAAGCCCATAATTGATTTTCTACAAGCATATGTTTTTGCACCGTGCTTGGGAGAAGGTGTCTAGCTTAAGCCCTGTGACAAAGAACTATTCGGAACAATGGGACCAGTTGAAGCTTAAAGATGGTATTCTTGTCCAGAGATGGGAAAGTGACAATCTGGCAAACAGTTATACCGAGAAAGTTACAGGAAGTTGTGCTGCGTCAATCCCATGATAGTTTAACAGGAGGACATCCTGGAGTTAAGAAGACATTGAGTTATCTACGGCAGAGATTTTACTGGATAGGTATGAGGCAAGATGTGGAAGAATGGTGCAGGACTGAGGTCCATGTTGTGCTAAAAGGAGACCCAAGCATAAGGAATGTGCTCCAATGAAGTTATATCAAATTGGCGCACCAATGGAAAGAGCAGCTATTGACATTGTTGGTCCTTTGCCCCAAACTAATGTTGGAAAAAAGTACATTTGTGTGGTGATGGATTATTTCACCAAATGGCCTGAGGCATATGCAATACCAATTCAGGAAGCTACAACTGTAGCTTCGGCTATTAGTGATTTCTTCTTCAGGTTTGCTATGCCATACAAACTGCATTCAGATCAAGGCCATAACTTTGAATCAGCTGTGTTTCATGAATGCTGCAAGTTGTTTGGCATACAAATAACCAGGACAATGCCACTTCACCCACAGTCTGATGGGGTGGTAGAAAAGTACAACTGGACATTGCAACAGGAATTGGCAAAGTTTTGTAATAGCGTCCAAGATGACTGGGATGTCTTACTTCCTCCACTATTGATGTGCCAGAGTTCTTGAAAGTGTTATATGAAAGGATGGATGATATTCATTATCAAGTGCATTCAAACTTAAAAATGTCTGCTGATTTCATAAAGCTATGTTATGATAAGAAATCTACTGAAGTCAGCTTTGTACCAGGAGACAAGGTGTGGTTGTATAATCCCAGGAAAACCAAAGTGAAGTCTCCTAAGTTGTCATCTCCATGGGAAGGCCCATATGACATAGTGGATCGTCTCTCAGATATGACTTTCCGAATAAAATGTGG